CTCTATCATATATCTTTATCTATATCTTATATCATCTATATTATCATAGATGATAAAGAAGATCTTCTTCTATATCTATATGATATTATACACTCCTTATAACATCGCGCGCGTGTGCGTGTATACGCGTGTGCGTGGGCGCGCGTGTGTGTGCGTGGCGTGCGTGCGTGCGTGCGCTGTGTGCGTGTGTGTGCGTGCATTGTGTGCGCGTTGTGTGCGTGTGTGCGTGTGTGCGTGTGTACGTGCGTGCGCACGCGTGTGTGCGTGTGTACGTGTGTGCGTGCGCGTGTGTGTGTGTGTGTGCGCGCCGCGCGGTGCGTGCGTGCGTGCATGCGTGTGTGTGTGCGTGTTGTGTATGTGTGAGTGTGTGCGTGTGTGTGTGCGCGCGTGTGTGCGTGTGTGCGCGCGCGTGTGTGTTTGTGTGTGCGTGTATGCTTGTGCGTGTGTGCGTACGTACATGTGCGTATCTCAGCTCGTTTCAAGCGCCTATGATTGTTAGCGTTGATTACGTGCGTTTCCTGATGTGAGCTGCACACTTACTTATCTCCATCCCACGTATACATGTATGAACGGAAATGCAGTCTTCCGACCGCGGTCTCCCATCCCCATCGTTACACTGCAGCAGTCGTGACAAACGAGTCGCAACAACAAATTACGAGTTACGCAATTGTATATACGTTGAGCATCAGTCTGAATCGAAATGCCGTGGGTCGTTTTCATAGCACTGCAAATTGTTTTTTTTATTTTGTTTTAATGTAGCCACTTTGTTGCGTTAAGTGCGTTTACGACTATATGTTATGCATAATTCAAAATGGTATGCACTGCAATGCATAATAGCTAGCGTAAAGCAGACCTAAGGAACATTCAGATAAAAATATGTTAATCACATGTGTTCGGGACTTATGTCTGTACAAAACACTTTGATCGGTTTAGAAATAGTGCCTCCGCTTCTAACACGCTATCAATGGAACAATTGCGGTGTAGTATGGAATCAATTATCTAGCGCTATACATTATAAAGCACGCGCACATACACACACAGATGAACACACATGCAACACACACACATGAACAGCCGCGCGCGGCACACAACACACACACACACACACACACACACACACACACACACAAACACCACACACACACAGCAGCACACAGCACACACACACCACACACAGCCGCCACATGAACATGCGCACACACACAAACACACACACACACACACACACACACACCATCACCACAATGAACATGCGCACACACACATGAACACGCGCACACACACACATGAACAACGCGACGCACACACACACACATGAGACACGCTGGGGCTGCGTGGCGGCGCGCACACACAGACAGTGAAGCACATGAAAAAGGTGCACACAGAGCAGCTAGCACTACGATGGTGGCGGTGGACAATTCATATATACTAATATACTACTATAATGTACATGATGTGGTGTGTGTTGTGTGGTGTGTGTGGTGTGTGTTTGTGTGTGTGTGTGTGTGTGTGAGTGTGTTGTGTGGTGTTGGTGTGTATGTGTTCATGTCTAGCTGTGTGTGGCGCGCGTTCATGGTCGTGTGTTGCGCCGCCAGGAAGTAATCGAGATAGTACGAACACGACCGGCGTGTTCATCGTGTGTGGTGTGCGGTGTTCTGTGTTTCGCATGTTCATGTGTGTGTGTATGTGTGGTGTGTGTGTGTGGTGTGTTGTGTGTGTTGGGGCGCATGGGTCATGTGTGTGTGTTGCGTGTGGTGTGTGTGTGTGTGTGTGTGTGTGTGTGGTCGTGTGGTGTGGTGTGTGTTGTTGTGTTGTTCTATGGGGGTCGTGGGCTTAATTAGTGTGGTTTTTTGGGCGGAGCGCTCGGTCCAGCAAGAGAAAAAGGGTAGCACAAGTCAGGAAGGGATAGGCTGGAGTGATAGAACGATGTCTGAGCGAGAGAATCCCTAAGGGAGATGATACTGCATAGAGCGGGTTGAATACTGTCAACGTGACAGGAGTAGCCTGCTGGCAGATAAGTGCCGTGGTCGTTAAATAAGAAGCCGCAGGGCCGCGGAAGTTGTCCAGGGATGAAGTGGGCGGTGAGTGTGTGTGTCGATGGGAAATGTCGTGATGTGAAAAAAGAGTTCATGCACTGGGACATAAGTGAAGTCATCACAACCGAGGGGTAGCGAACCGTGCCTAAGGCTGAGGATCCGACCGGGTAATATCGTGGGGTACGCTAGAATATTGATATCATACTGCGGAGGCACCGCCGGGGCACTTAGTGCTGACGGCCGCACGTGGAAAAGGCTCGTAAGTAATGACTGTGATAAACAGAATGCGCAAATCCATTCAGTCAGCTAACTCACTACACACGGGAAATTCCAAAGTGTTTGGTAGCAGAGCGCATAATTTCCGGTAGGGGCTACCATGCTGATGTAACCGATACGCAATTATGTGTGCTGAGATGTGCCTAGGTGCTGGCTACGCTAGGGTCTGACATATAAAGCAGTTGCAGATGCATTACAGCATTTTGGAATATGCGTAAGCATATAGGTCCGTAAACGCACTTCAATCATGCGACGAAAGTAGCATACATATGAAAACAGATGAAAAGAACAATTGTCGAGAGGCTTCGAACGCACACACACACACAGGACAGCGGTCATTCGATCAGACTGAACATCAGCTCAAGCGTACACACTCCAGCAGACAACTAGCACTAGATATTATCGTAATATTTAGTATATATTGCGCACTTCGAGTTATGAACTATGTCAACCGCGCAACACTACACGAGCAGCAACACATCACAGCAACGTGATAAACGCACACATCGGGAGATCAGCGACAAGCACGGCACAGGCACTGCCAGGCACACACACACATACTATATATATATATATATATATATATATATATATATATATGAACACGCGCGCACACACACATGAGCACGCGCGCACACACAAACATGAACGCGCATATATACATTTTACAACTGGAACATCTATTCGAATGCGCTTGTGGCGACAGCTGCGACACCTCTCGAGAAAAATTGGCAAATTGAAAACGCCGTAAACATTTGCGTCCCGTGAGTTATACGTCATACACAAAAAGCAGGGTATGAACGTAATCCCGAGAATTGCAGTCTGCCTGTCATAACCATTTAGGCGAGTATGCGCACACTACTGTAAAATACTTAACTTCAGCCAGACTTTACGCCAGCCAACGTGATTTAATTAGGAAGGTACCTTTAAGTGGACCATAATTACACAGGAAGAGGCAGCACTTAATGTTCAATCCCCAGAACCTTACCAGATCGCAACCCATGTATTTCGATTCCACCTATACAGATATACGAGTAAATAGCACAATCGCGCGTATTTTCTGGAAGAAAATGGAATGTGTACGCTTACAATTTATATGTATAATACACAATATATTTATCTGTAAATATTATTCAATTGCATAGTTTTAATCAAATGAACACGTCAGTGGAAGGATAGGAACACGTATGTTATTTCTTGATTACATTATTATAGCCATATTGTGGTATGTATGCAGTTGCGTGTGTAAGTTGGTTGCAGTGTTTCTCATGAATTAACGAAGGGAAATGAAAAATAGATAATTAACGTTGCGTAAGTATCAGCAACGGTAAGGTAACAAGTTACCCCTAATGTTGCTATGTAATTTAAACATCGAAAAACGTTTAGCAGAATTGCCTGTCAGTAATTGCTACGCGCAGCTACTAAAACTGCATAACCGCACAGTTTTTGATGGGCTCAAAACTCAATACTCGACTTCGGTCTCGGGTCATATTTATTTTATTAGTGCACAAAACTCCATGTTGCTAAAACAAGCAGGTAATAATGAGTCAAACCCATTATAATGTTATATATTAAACTAATGCTAGGGTTATGACTGTGATGCTAACAATTCCGCATACCAGCCTTAGTCTACCTATGATTTATTAATTATCACTCAATAACTTTGAACTCAAACGTTACATTAAATATCGAATAACCATAGTGCCTAATCGATTTCCTTATACATAAATCGCAATCAAGAAAGATAGATGAAAATGTAAGACAGTCAGGCCCATGACAAACCGGAATCATATTGCGGTGAAATATATCGGGGACATTAATATGGGGTTCGGTAAACTCGAAACACAGACGCATTTTTGTTTAAAAATCACATTCTGACTATTTTATGGTTAATTTGTTTGGCCAGATATAGTATCCTGCTCGCTTCCATCTATTCAAAACTTGATTTTTCGTACATCGTGGCAGCCATCAGTGGTAAGAAACCAGACCAGGCCAGGCCAGGTTTATGATAAGTGACAACACTGTGTTCAGCAGGCAAGGTTGATATTAAGCGTAAAATAATAATTTTATTCCGAATAAAATTAACGAATACGGTATCATGAAGTTCTTGTATCGAGCGAGCTTTCGAGGCGATGCATCTTCCTAGGAATCTCACAATTCTATCACATTCTGACTGAGGAAGAGATGTTGTCTCGAAAGGTCGCTTGATGCAATAAATTTATGACACCATAATTATTAGAATTACCAGAATTATATCTAGTTTTTTATATATTTTAAATGTTATATATATATATATATATATGTCTATATATATATACATATATAATGTATAATTATTGTATGGTTGTAATAAGAACATGAAAGTTTGCGGACCGAGAAAAGCAATGTTACCCAAGACACCTGTTAATATGCTCAACGTGCCTCCATGTTCCAGGACTCGGCAGAGTCTGAACAGGACCAACTGCGAGGAGTATCTTCTCTCATCAGTGCAAACATGGAGGCAGTAATTAAGACCAATAAGGGAAACCATTTACTCATAATTAGTAACACCATGGTATAGTATACATTTACATGAAATGGTCAAGATAATCCAAGCAGATATCCGCCTGTCCGTCAAACAAGCGTTGGCACGTCGATATCCTGGGCACGTTTGCTTAATTGGTCGTAAATTAAACTTAGTAGACTTACCCAAGTGGTTCTTAAGCGTGTGGTCAGTAGTGGGACCAGTTTCAGGAGTTGGCGTCGACCCGTTATGTCTCGTCCACTCAAAGTCGTCATGAATGCTATTCAACCAACCGCAGAAGCCTTGCTCAAAATCGCACCTGGCCCCATCAGGCATGCTCGCTGAAAAGCAGTGAGTGATTGTTTTGGCGATTGAATGATGCAGTTTTATTATGAATAATATACGTTTTTTTTAGAAACCTTTCGTGGAAGAGTGTCGCTAAATAGAGAGACAGACATGTCAACAGAATATGTGTGATTACAGCTCGAGTATCAAAGGTTAAAATGTTAAAAACAAGTTCTCTCACGTTTCAATCGAATTCGTCATTTTATCCACGCAGTTGAGATTCCTAAATTATAACGTATATTAATCGAGTATTCCGCCTACCGCAGACTGCGATTCCTGGTCATTACCGAATGTCTTTTACGAATACAACTGACTTACTGCGGGTATAGGATGAATTCACCAGTATACATACAAATTTGAACATACATTATAGATTATGACTTTGATTATATGATTATTATAGTTTACGACAAGACTGAACAATGAACAGCAACGCCGATGACACGCGGTTTGCTGTTTCAGTTAACGCATTATATCTATTAGCTACCGAAATAGAACGAGCCAATTTCATACCCGCGATCTATTAGCGTTGCTGCTGAGGCTCGTGATAACACTGATTCTTACTTCTAATGCCTTGTCGTGTGAATCCACGCGACAATCACCCGTTACTAACTATCGAAACAAGACTGATGTCAGGGCCGTAGGCTGAGCAATTTCCGAAGGGAGGCGGGGCAAAATTTCATGCCTCAACTGTGTAATGATGAGCGACGGTCGCAGCTCTTGATCGACGTCCATAGTGTGATAGAGGTGGGTCTGAGACAAGGCTTTCACGGATACGTGACCAAAAAAATCACGTTAGAATTATTTACGATTATTAGCTCAGCTTTTTAAAAATTTTGCGCCAAAATCTTAGGGGGCAGCTGGCCCCTTGCCTCCCCGCAGGCTACGGCCCTGGATGCAACGCAAACTGCTAAAGATAAATAACGCATCTGATATTCCTATCTAAACCACTCTACATTCTTCAATAAAGTACAGCTCGTTTTGCGATCACGCGTATATGTTTTAACTATCGGGATGCTTTAGATGTGTAGGCCTACTCCGAGCTGCCAGTGGTCTATTTATATGTGTCACTGGCGTCCTTTTACAATTACTTCAATCTCTATCATATCATGGGTATGAATTAAATTCGTTTTCGAGTTTTCGTGTTACAGTCGCGGAGGCCCATGCACTGGCCGTTATCACACTGCTTTTAACCATACTAATATCTATCATGGGTATGAATAGAGTGCCAACTCTTTTCATAGTGTGCCGACTTTCGAATTGCTAGGGTGTCGACTCTAGGGGCCGCCTTCAATAATGGTATCTCCATCATGCCGTGGGTATGAATAAAATGCCAAGTATTGACCGTTTCACACTACTTCTATACAGTTAACGGGCTTGCATGGTCTCTTCTGCCTTAAGGGCATGCGCCCCTGGTGAGAGCCGTTCCAGTCCCGGTATTCCGTTTAGCAAAGTTTAGACTACCTCGGTCACAGAATCGGGTGACGTCATGATCAATAGGAAGGACCTAAATAATGCCAGGCGCGTCTGCCTTCTCTCTGAACTGGGTGGCTTCTGTACCGAAACTTAGCTAGGTTTCTATACTATAGCTTTCCCTGTATGATGTGGTCTGCATGTCCAGCTCGCTTCATGCAGTACGGCTGCTGAGGCTCACACTAAGCAGCTGGTTTTTGGTATTTTAGCCAACTCCAATCTCTACCTCGAACAAACCAGTAACGAGGTTGCACTCCTCATTAGAATAGGGTTAGCCTCTTCATTTGATATGCGATAGTGGCTTGGCTAGGCATGCGCTGGCGCATTTTGACTAAGCAGGGGATCTCGGTGGACACGTATTTCATTATGTGAGATGCTGTACACTGTACACGTGTGTTAGAAGGCACTGTACCGTGCACAGTTTCATGCCTGTCTCCTGACTGCTGCTGATATCTCCCCGAGTAACTTACTTTTTATAAAATGATAATTATAAACATAATTATAAAATGATAATAAAATTTGATAAAATTCCATCAGAATTTCAGTATAGCTAGGCATGTGTCTTTCAGGCATGCGGGACGTGTCTCGCGCCCTTTGTTAGACAATTCTCATTTAGTATCAATACATTAATTAATGCAAAATCTATGTCATACTCTTAGATACCCGACCCCACTTCAAACAGGTACACTGAATTAAGTTGGGTCATATCTTCTATGCTATATATACAGCTACGTCTCTGCACATGCAGCTTTAATGCAGACTCTCATCACTATTTAATTCACTCCCCAAGGCCCGCCTCCTTGTTACCGACGAAGCTTACTTCTTGCTGACAATGTATTGATAATTTCAGCTAACGCCCTGTCACATCCCGTGCATTCATCGTAAGACGTGCTGCTACAATTTACGACGTTTTGCGTGTCTATCTGCACCAGTTAACCATCTATCTAACCCACGTACGCACTTCAAACAATACGTCTATGTCATAGTTGCGTCCTAGGTGTAGCTCCTACTGTAGGCCTGTATAAATTATTTGTCTCGGCAGTAATAACTTTCCACTTTCGTGAGGGGTAATATATCGCATTTTCGGAGGATGATTCAAGATTCATAACTAACAGCACATGTGTGGCGACCCACATCCATTGGCCATCTCTTGAATCCACATTTTGAGACGATGCTATAGCGGTTCTACCGAGACCTAACATCAGAGACGGATATAGTAACTATAGATGAAGATTGTTTGGTCAATGAGTAGCGAAGAGTCCAAGGATTGCTTTGGAGGGAGAAATACCACCGACACAATTATTAACCGCATACTGTACTATAAAAGAACGCCTGTCACCATAGGGGGTTTTGAGCTTCTGTACGTCTCTTGCATCCGACCATGCAGCATTACGTACACGAATATGTAACCCGTGGAAACCGCTGTAAATAAGATTCACAGGTGTACGCTCGACCATTACTTCACCGTAAAGCTTTGAGGTTGCTGCCGCAACAGGCACAATGCGGTAGCAGTAAGCTAGATCAGCCGAAATGCATGTTTGCCTGGATCCATGTATCGGAGCGTATATTTCAGCCTAGCCATTCCAGAAACCAAAGGACAGTTACTCTGATCACTCGGCCTATTTTGAACTACAGTACATACAATACTTATAGCTAGAAACACGGTGACGAAACATGGAAATTAAATAATAGAATAGACCACTTCTAATATCCCTAATCGTTTCTAATAAAGGAACACGCAAGAGCCGTCGTCTATAGTACTTACGAGAAATACATTATATTAATAATTTAACGAAGCTCTATGCCTCACCTATTAAGTCGAACGTCATCAGTTATTCGAGGTTGGTATCTATAATGCTAGCGCCATATTGGAGCCACAATAGCATTTTATACGCTATAATCGTCTTGGGACGTGCTATTAGTACGCGCAATGACATCAGACCCAGCGTAACATTGCGGCCACCTATGTAGCTGTGAATTTCTCTTGGGGCGAAAGGTTAATTAGCTAATTCATCGCGGATGCAGAGGATGATGAATAATAATACAGCAAGCATTAGCTAGCGGTAATTGCAAGACGCTATAAAAAAAACATTCTTGGTATTTTGGCTGTTAGGCAACCACGGAATGTAAGGATATAACGGAATATAAGTGATCATACAGTTTACTCGTGTGAACAACCGTACAATCTCTATGCCGCATACGTCAATGGGCATCATTTTATTTGAACAGCGTGTGAAATATTTACAGAATGTACGGACGTAAAATTGCGGAGCAGACACGAGAAACGCTCAAACTACTTGTCTAGCGATACGATGATAAGTCGAGCAAAAATAAAAAAGCGCAACTGTTCGCACTATTTCAGTGATATTTGTATTTGTGTGACACAATTGTGGATGACACGCCGGTCGAACGATTTCGATTTTCGAAACACTTTTAGGATGATCGTATCAGCGGAATGCTTGAAAATAAATTATGCCGCGGAGAATTACAATTTTCCGTTTTTCAATATACTCTGCTTAAAATCTCTCGAGCAGAGCTGTGGCTGCCAAGAGCTTCGCCTTGTTTGTGTGCTAACGCTTTTACATAGCGACCTCGGTTATATATTGCGTTCCTAACGCAATTATCCATGCTGTAAACTACTATGGAAATAACATTCGCAAGTCAGCAAGAGTCTGTTAAATGCCTCATAGGATGCGCACGTTCTTCGCTGCGGCCTGCTGTCGAATTCCCTTGCGAGCCCATAATACATAAGACCGCTAACCACAGTAGTCGCTAAAGGGATTTGGTCCAGTAATGTATATATAATAGTTATATATGAATCAGCTTAGCATGATCGAAGAACCGTGCGTGCATGTGTGCCGCTATTCGTCGTGCGCCTATATGTTCTCGGCATATCATTGTCACGAATATAAGCCATTTTATTGAGTGGGTGACACGTATGATGAGGAGAGGTCGCACACGCATGAATCAGGATCGTATTTTACACATGTGTGTGTGAGCATGTGTGAGCCTGTGTGAGTGTGTGTGCGTGTGTGTGCGTGTGTGTGCGTGTGTGTGTGCGTGTGTGTGCGTGTGTGTGTGTGTGTGTGCGTGTGTGCGTGTGTGTGTGTGTGTGTGTGTGTGTGTGTGTGTGTGTGTGTGTGTGTGTATGTATGCAATGCATGAATGCAAGATGGCTTCATGGTTTATAGTAGAGTCTACAGCACATTAGTGTTCCATTTTTGATAAAGAGCATTCAAAATTGGTACTACGTGTGCTCTGACAATATTGCTAAATCTTGGTATAGCAGGTGGACCCCAACGTAAATTTGCCGTTTAAGGGGGCGGTAGCACTTTAAAGTTTCAAGAAATGGTGGCCGCCATGAATATTAAAAAGTTGGCTGGATAGTATTGCCACAATTCTAAATAGACATCTGGTTTGAGTGATTTTAAATTTCGATTGTATATTTTTTAGACACAGGGGGAGAATCATCTAAGATCAAAATTTAGAAAGCAAATTGGGGGCGTTTATAAGGGCGTGGCAC